CTGCTTTTAGTTGCAAGGGAGACAATACACAGTAATTATACAGTAGAGAAATTGGACAGTACCGTGACCAGGTACTCAAAGCTAAAGTCACCATTGAAGGACAGATGGGAATCATGTGCCTCCAGATGTGAGGCTCTGAGAAGGACACATGACCATCTATGTACTATTCAGGCTGAGAATGTATAACCTCAATCCAATCATGAGGAAACACCAGATAAACCCTAACTGGGGGATGTTCTATTAAAAAAAAGGGTGGGAGAAGGAACAGTGTTCCAAATTGTCAATGTCCTAAAAGACAATGAAAGTCTGTGAAAACATTCTAGAAAGTACGAGGCTAAAGAGACGTAACTGAATGCAGTACCTGATTGTAAACCGGATCCAGTATTGGAGAGGGAAATATACTAAGAGGTCTTTAGTGGGTCAGCTGACAAAATTGGAATATGTATGTTTGATTTGATAAAAGTATCCATGTTAAATTTGCTGACATGATAACTGTATTAAAATTATCAAAGAAAATATGCCAATGTATAGGAAATATACTCTGAAGTATTTAGGGATAAAGGGCCATGATGTCTGTAATTTGCCCTCAAAAGGTTTAGAACAAATATTTGTGTGTGTGTGTAAAGAGTGGAAACGTGTACGATTGCAAATGATAAAGCAAATGGAGTAAAAATAACATAAATCTGGGTAAAGGATTGCAGGGTGCTGTTTGTAGTATTTTTGCTTTTGTAACTTATCTGTAAATTTGAAATTATTTCCAAGTAAAAAGACCAGATATATGCTGTTGTTATGATGCATTCTAATGAACAAAGTGGTAGTGCTTAATTTGTTCTTGAAGAATGAACAGTTAACATGCCCATTAGGCAGTTTCTCTCAAATATCCTCTGCCTCTAGTGAGCCATTGGTAAGTACTGGATCAAATCAGTTCATGGTTGAATTATCCAGTGAGTGCCTTAAGTGCCAGTATTCTCTATTGTTGATTGAAGAAGGAGCCATATGTTTTATATACCGAATGTGGGCCAACAGCATTAAAATTCTGTTATAAAAATTGTAAAAGCCTGATTTGTTCTATGCTAGTTTACCTATCATGAAGATGGGACAGAGAGGTACTTAGAGGAAGTTACTGATTATTTTCTCTCAAGAAATATTTGAAACTTTAGAAGCAGTTGGACAGGTTCTCACAAATGAACCTAGTCTTCAGAAGTATAGGATAGAAAAAAAATGATTTGGCCTAAAATATTTGAAAGGTGTATATTAGCAGTTAACTGCCCACCATCACAAAGGAATCTTAAGTTTTTATCTCCTTCAGAAAATATAATTCTCTGCAATGTAATTGCATGCTGATGGCCATTCCAGAATAAATTGCAAAGTACACCCCAAATAACCTGCCTCTTAAGAAGAAAACTGGACCAATAAAAAGCATTTAGAATATTGTAAAAAAGTTAAAACCATATTAAAGAGCGAAAGAAAACATCAAGTGCTATTAGTAAATATCTGGGTGGGAATTTTTTAATCTAAGACAGATTTAAAAACTTGTGTATGCCAGGCATCCCTTCTGCCCTTGTTAAAGGCCTTTCATGCCTACAGTTGCAAAAAAAGTTCACAAAAAACATAACAGGGTTTTAAACTGATTTGATATTATCTTAAAGGTCCACAAGATGGGGATGCTCCTTTTTTTTTCTATGTCTGTGAGAAATTATGAAAGAATTGTTCTAGCCAGTGGTGTATTGGAGAATCTCCTACTGGTCTGAGAGCTGATTGTTAAAGTTTTAGGAATTTTGCAAACTGGTAACACAGCCATCATTAAGAATTAAATTACATAGCTTATTATTAAATAAATGGCATTAAAAAAGGTAATCAATATTTAAAATTCACTTCCTAATTATTTTACTATGATTTATGTTCTTGAAGTTATTTATGAATATCGAACCTTTAGGTTGAGCTACTGTATCATGGCGTGTTACTGCGTGTCTTTCCCCAATTCCATTTTCAGTGAAGTTACATCGATAGCTTGGAATTAGCTACGGTAGGAATATTTACATCACAGAGTTAAGCAAATGCCATAAATCGGGGCTTGATTTATTGTTTATTGCTTGTCTATATGTAAAGTGATGGAGAAAATGCTAATAATGCAAACTTAAAGTGTCAGGTCTTTATCTATTACATTGTACATAGCTCAAAAATTGAGAATATATTTTGCATTTCAGAAATGATTACTCACTTCAGCAAAGAAGTTACTCACATTGTTGACATCATTGATGCGAGTGAAAATATCAACCAGTCCTCTGAATTACAGTGGAAAGCTGGTTGCTAAACATTTACCAGTGCGTTGCTGGTCATGGCCTAATTGAGTTTGGTGTTCTGGTAAGAAGTGGGTGGTATAAATTTCTTATACTGTTTTCAGCTTTAGGAAATCGTATCATGACATGTGGGCATTAACTTAAAAAAGGAAAATTATGTTTTAAAAGTCATTAGCAGTAGCACAAAATAATTTTAAATTTGAAGCCTTTGATACATCTCTATTGTGGAAGAGAAAAATAGAATCATAGAATTTCAAGTCTGAAGAATACTTAAATCCTGACTTACCTACAGATAGAAATTCTTTCTCTAGTGTATCAGTCAGTCATCCAGACTGTAGAGACAGAGCTCATTACCTGATTAATAGTGTTGGAAAGTTCTATATATGGAGCTAAACTTTGTTTTTCTTTAATTTCTACCAATTGGTTCTGGTACTGACTTCTGGAGAAGCATAGCATCATAGAAGAGAACATTTATCTCTTCTGTAGAGCAACTAGCTCTTCAGGTTTAAAGGTAGTTTGGATGTTTCCAGTTAGACCTCTTTAGGCAAGAAGTAACCTTTAATTCCTTTAACCATATTTTGTGTGGTATATTTTCTGAGCTGTACAATCTAAGATTGTGTTGCTTTTGTAAACATCCACATCACTACCTTTTGAGGTTTATTGACTTTACAGATGAAATTTAATTCTTTTTTTTGTGCAATCACACACAAATCAGTTGGTCTGTGGTGTTTGATTTTTTAATCAAAGCAGATCTTTGTATTTATTCGTATTACTTCAGCACAGCATTCCAGATTGGAGAAATGATACTAAACTGTAATTTTATCATTTTGGGCATTTATTAACCATACTGATTTTGTATCAGTTGCAGATTTGATAAGCACTCATTGTTTATTGTTTATATTCAAATTATTGTTTAAAATGTTGAATTTCAAAGGCCTGTGGGGACACAGATTATCTTTAAATAATCCTCTCTAAATTCATTTCTGCCTATTACTACCTTTTGCTGCAAGTCCACCTTCTAGTTCTATTAAGTAGCCCACATTTTCCATCTTATAATGCAAGAGTTCATCATGACATATATTGTCAGATGCTTTGTTAACTGAGATCAAGATACACTGTCTATGGGCTCCCAGTGAATACATGTTAGTACTTCTGTCTTTGTAAAGCAGGCATTTTTGAAAAATTCTGGCATGTCTAAATGTTAAAGTCCTATTCGTCCACAATTGGAAAGCTAGAAAGAAAATCTACCATGAGTTGTAGGTTAGATGATAATTAAGACCTCAAAAGAGAAAAGGAATGAGAGGATTTATGGGAACATTTGATGCTCAGGGCCACGGTAAATACCTGGGCTGCAAAGAAAACAGCCTGTGCCATGAGAGCAGAGCTTCTTCACTGAGAAGGTATTCTGGAGCAGGTGAGAATTGAGGGATCTGGAAATAGTTTCCCTAGTATTATCTATTTTCTTTGTAATGTGTGTGGTGAAATCTTAACAGTGAATGCTTCTGAGTGTATATGGGTGTTTCTTTGTGATGTACCTCCTTATTTTTGCTATGGATACAGTAATACTTCATGGTATAATTTTGAAGATTAAAAACTCAATATGAAGTCATCTAGCTCATTTTCTTGTATTTTGTTGATGGTAGATAAAGCCTTATTTAACCATTTGTTAAGTTTTTTCCTTTTTTTAATTTCCATTGGCCAGTTGTGGTGAGTTTCTCAAGAAGTTACTAAATGTGAGTTGTTGCATCACATTTCTTGGTCTCCAGTCTTCTTCATCCTGTCCAGACCCATTTTATTGCTGCTGGAAGAAAAATTTATGACAGGTCATTTGATTAAATAGTATTAGAATAATGATGTTCTTTTTCCCACTACCTATTCTCCCAAAAATCATAGTTCAAGAGCAACAGGTTCTAGAAGTTAGTCCTGGATTAGTTGTCTCATTTTCTAGCCTCCATTCAAGTTACTTTTAAAAATCATATTTATGTGGATACATTTATGTTAAACAAATGTGTTTTTAGAGGTCCTCCTTGAATATACTCTTCAGTGTAAATTCTGGGCCCCAGGCATAGGGAGATAGTAGTGTTTCATGAGTACTTAATAGCTGGCAGTCACTTTTCTGATAATCTTTTAATTTAGCCAAGTCAGGGCTACTTGTTAAAAAAGTAGAGAGGACTTCAGATGTAGAAGTAAAGGGTTTGGGGCATATGAAGAAAGAGAGTTACATGAATAAAATTCATGAGCTCATGAGTTATTTTGGAATTTACTTTCCTTAGTGGCATAACTTATTACATTAATTATTTTATGGCAGGTTTTACTTTGTTTTAACTTGAGGGTTTCTATAGGATGGGTTAGTAGGCCCTCTACCTAGTCTTTAAAGAATCTCTTGGGGGGCGCCTGGGTGGCGCAGTCGGTTAAGCGTCCGACTTCAGCCAGGTCACGATCTCGCGTGTCCGTGAGTTCGAGCCCCGCGTCAGGCTCTGGGCTGATGGCTCGGAGCCTGGAGCCTGTTTCCGATTCTGTGTCTCCCTCTCTCTCTGCCCCTCCCCTGTTCATGCTCTGTCTCTCTCTGTCCCAAAAATAAATAAAAAAACGTTAAAAAAAAATTAAAAAAAAAAAAAAAAAGAATCTCTTGGTTCAGCATGTTGTACTTCATTTTTGGTAATTGATTTATTCTGTCTTCTTGCAGATTGAGGTGGTGTCATGCAGCAAGCAGCAGAGAGATGCAGAGTTCGAGCCAGAAGGCCTGACATGGCACTTTATATACCGAAAGCTCGAAGGGGTATAGTGCTGCTTAAGTCAGGTGATGAAGAAAAAAGCTGTGGTCCACCTAACTCTGTGGTGAAAGAAGAACAAAAAGAAGATGGTCTCTTCCAAAAGGAGATCTTTAGAGGCAAATCTGAGACTCAGACACTAAGCATTAATCCTGATGATAAGGAACACAACCATAGGGAAGGAAAGAAGTTTTCAACAAAATTAAGAAAAGACACATGCCTTCAAGAAAGAAAGAAAGATAGGGTTTGTGTTAGGAGGGGAACCACAGAATCTAAAGAAGCATTATCCCAAGGACATCAGCAAAGTGTCCCAAATCCTGGGATGCTACCTAGTGCACCTTTACAAAGACACGTTAAACCAAAGAAGGTGGAGTGTTTGGAGGTCGAAACCACAAATGTGATAGGACCTGGGAAGTTGCTTCTATCTCAGTCTTGTTCAGAAGTGGGTGAGGCCCAGGCTCTAAACAAACCATTCCAAAATATGGAATTCTGTGATTTCAGTAGGCACAAAGTAAGTGGCAAAACGTTCAAAGGCAGAGATTTGGAAAACAGAATTGAAACTGATGTCAAGGTGGTGGAGATACTATCCCAGTTTCCTGGAGTTTTTAATTCTGTATTGAAACCTGAGAGTAAGACTGTGGCAGTAAAACTAAGTTCTGATTCTGAAACTGTACCAGAAAGTATGCAAACATCGTGTGGAATGTTGACTCTCGGCAATGGAGGCATCACTGCCATTTCTGTTCCTGGAAGTACGGATGGTGTCACTGATCAAACTTGTGTAGACTTTGAAGCTGAGAATGTTGGTGATACAGCCAACAGTACAGATATCATCTTGGCTCAGAGAGGTATAGATTCCATTCCTGAGACTTTGGGTCACATCTCTCATAAAATGACCATAGTCAGCAAATTAGAGAGTATAAATGGCATTTTTGATCCAACACTGATTAGAGAGTATGAGAAGAATGACAGTACTGCTGATGACTTGTGTATAAGGTATGAACCTTCTGATACAGCTCTCCTTGCTCATGAAACAGATCTAGATAATGGGCTGAAGAGTGTAGGTGACATTACCCATAAGGCATGTAAGATGGACATTACAGATGTCCTGTCTGATCAGATAACTGTGGGCAGCCCTTGTGTAGCTGCAGTTAGAACAGCTGGTGAGGCCTGTAGCAACACAAATAGTTTCTCAAAATATTTAGAAATGAGTGCAGATACAGCCCCTCTTCATGTAGCTGGGAGTGGGAATGACATAGAAAATTTCAGTAGCCTGACTGCTTGCTCAGATATTTATGCTGAGAGTATTTCATCTAGTTTCACAGAGTCAACAGGAAAGTTGATAGAGAGCTTGTCAGATTGTGCTTCCTCCTTACCTATAAAGAAGATTGCTGGTAGTAATTGTAGCACTTTTTTGGACTGTGAACTCAGTGTGTTAAATGGGACAAAAGTACTTTCAGACAGTGCCTTGGGCATTGATCTAGATTGTACGGGTGATATAACAAAGGCATTGCATGAACTAAAAACTGCCGAAGAGTTCGAAACAAAAGAGGAAGATCACTCAGAGAATATAGAGTTTGGTGTATCCTTTCCTGATACGGAATCTGTATCTATGGAAACATCTATGGAACCGAAAGCAACGGAAACATCTCATGTGGAGGGAAGTACTGCTACTGAGGACAGCTGGGAGTCTCTGTTTAATGATGATGGTGACTGCTTGGATCCACGTCTTCTACAAGAGGTCTGTTCAGTGGAAGTTACTCGATGCTTACATAATTTATAGATTCATAGAGCTTGGTGTTTGGGGGGGTAATTTTGATGGACATTTGTGCACATTCGTACATTCACTCATGTTACATTCAATGTAAGGGTTCCTGCAATAAACAAATAGGACTGTAGATTGAGAAAAGAATGTCTGATAGGTCTTTACAAAGTAAAACATACCAAATTGAGTATCTATTATAACCAAGTTGTGAGAGATCTTACTGAATAGATTAAAGATGAGTTTAACAGATTCTGACTGTCTGTTGAGGAAATAAAGAGGGAAACTTCTTCAAAAGGGATTTTCTGCATTGACAAGATGTATTTTACCCAGGCCTATCTGAGGGGAGGAGAGTAATTTATTATTCACATTTATCGTATTTTTCTAGGAAATGTTGGGATGTTGTCAGACACTGGAGGGAAGGAAGTAGAGAAGGGAAGGGTAAAATAAGGAAAGGTATGATCGTTTCTTAAGTAGTTTATGCTGCGTTGCAGAATAAATGATTGTTGAGTACATGTAAAGTATGAGTAAATAATGACATGCTGGCTAGTCAAGAGTTCATAAATACAACATGTTGGGTTAGAAGTCATTTTAGAAATTATTTAGTTTCATCTTTTTATTTTCCTAATTTAGACATTCACTCTATCCAGTTTTTAAATTCCTTGCCATAAATAAGAATCATTGGTGTTAAATAGTAAAACCACTTCCCCTTTCATTTCTTATAGGAGTGTCTGGAAGGAGAAAAAATAATTTCCCAGTGAAATCACCAATTTTATAAATGAGGAAATTGAAGCTTAGTGGTCAGACCTTTAGGAAAGGCAGAATCAGGGTTTCCATTTAGTTCTCTCTTAATCCAATGTTCATGTTCTTTCTACCAGACCGTGTTGTTACCTATAACATAGTTTTGTTTGAGTGATTCCAGAGAACCTTTTAAATATGAAGTGATTGGTTCTTTTGTTTCTCAGAATTAAACCCTAAGTACAGAAAAACGGTCACATGCATGTGAAGACACATGTGAGAATGAAGAGGGTGTAGCCCATTGGACAGAGCTGACTTTCCAATACCAAGCAGTTCCTCTTCATTCTTAGGTGTTTGCATGTGCACATGTACCACAGGTAGCACTTCCTATGGTCAAGTCAGGAAGCACTATGTCCTAAATATTCCTTAGAAAGAAATACAGAACAGAAAATAACTACAGATGGCATCCATGAACCCCTTGAAATTGCATACAGAATTTTATATGTATGTGCAGTTTTTCATCAGATTCTCAAAGGCAGGGCTTCCCAAAGTACGAGTATCACCTGGAACTTGTTAGAAATGCAAACTCTTTATTTAGCCCAGTAGTGTGTATATTTGTGTTTTTCAGGTGACTCTGATGCATACAAAGTGAGAACCATTGCTGAAAAGGTAGTAACATACACTTGAATGTTTATCAGAATGTGAGTGTGATAACTAGAGATGGCTGTCCACACATAACTAGAAGAAAAACAGAAGTTTTAGACACAAATTAGGTTAATAAATACTAGTAATGTGGGAAGTGAGGTGGAGCATAGAGAAGTTATTAAGGATCCAAGCATTGGGGGCTCCTGTGGGGCTCAGTTGGTTAAGCATCTGACTCTTGATTTCAGCTCAAGTCATGATCTCACAGTTTGTGTGTTTGAGCCCCGCATCGGGCTCCTCACTGACAGTGTGGAGCCTCCTTGGGATTCTCTGTCTGTCTGTCTCTCTCTTTCTCTCTCTCTCTCTCTGCCCCTCCACTTCTCGTGCTCTCTCTCTCTCTCTTTCTCAAAATAAATAAATAAAAATAAAAACAAAAAGGATTCAAGCATTGGAAGGTCTCCATGTTCAAAGAGATTATCTGAGGGAGCAGAGAGCACACATGTGCACAGGAGAGAAGGAATAGCTTCCTACAAAAGAAAGGTATGGCAAGAGCCCTTTACACATAATGAGGCTTAGTAAATAAATATTTATTGAATGGATGTAGATGATAGGGCAGAGTTGGAGCTCTGTGCTTTTTTAGGGTGGACACCAGGGGCTTTCAAAACTTGATTGCTGCTGGAACTTGGATTCTGTATGGTAGCTTAGGGATACAGCTTTTATAACGGGGCAAGAGGGTTCAGGTGTGCAAGTCTGTTTTTCAGATCTTAACACTGTTTGGAATAGGTGCAGAAGAAAGTAGGCAACCACTCAGTGTTTTGAGGAGCATCGTAATATAGCCAAAGATGATACTTGTACGACCTGAAGCTTGGAATGACTAGAGAAAGGAGTATGTAGTGTTTTAAGCTGGACAGCCAGTGCCTGGGTGTTGTGTTTGGATATCACACACTGGGTTGGTGCTTGGTAGGGAGTGAGGTCTGCATTGAGGGATAAGGGTTGAAGAGAGCAAGAAGGAAGGAGGTAGATTGAGAATGCTGGTAGCAGATCCAACTCCAAACTATGATCTCCTGTGCTTTGAGTTTTAGGAGATGTAATAATAATGTTATTAAAAGATGTCACAAATTCAATAATGTTAATAGCCTTTTAGTGACTATTACTCTTAATTTATTATTTATATTGCTCTAAACATACTTTATTAAAGGTCAAATCAGAGTGTCTGTCTCTTGAAAACTTTCCAACCAATAATTTTTGGCTCTTTTCCCAGTGGGCCTGTTTCTTTGTTGACAGTGGCTACACATGGAGGTATGTCTAATACTTCTAATAGTCAGGGAGGTATGCTGTAGAGCAGGGTGTGACAGCCATTGGCATGTGAAGCAGTTTCCTGTGACATTTGAACTTCTAAAACTGCCTGAGTGGGTAGAAAGCATGGATGGGTCATTACTGAACTCCTGGAACTACAATTCTTGATGAGTCTCTAAAGATCATGGTTTGGAATGCTCAGAAATTTACATTGGCAATTGATTTTTAAAAAAATGTTGGCATGACTTCTTTTAACCCTTTGAGATCTTGGTATAAGAACACAAGAATTACTGTTGTCTGGATAAAACTTTCATAGCTCCTGCTGCCTCCCGTACTGATCTGCAGATCTGTTGTTTGGTAGGAGGGTTAACCCAGCAACATAATATAGATATTGATAGAGTGTGGCATCTGGTCCCTTCACTGGCCATTTCTGGCCTTAATTTGACACTGGTCATTTCTGGCCTTGGTTTAGATAGGAGTCTCCTTTTGTTACAGAAGGCTACTAACAATATATAACCATGGAAAAAAGAAGAGTAAAGGGACACCACCCATTCCCAGACTATCTCCTTTTGTGTGTAGACTCACGTTTATACACTCCTTCTCCCTATAGACTTTTGCACAGATGCGGTCTGTGTTTAAGTAGGGAACCTAAAAGTGAAAGGAAAAATTCATAATCCAACCACTAAAAGCAAATTATATGAAGTACAAAGGGAGGAAAGTCCTTCATATTCCACCCCCTAGGGACTTCATTAATAGTTGGTAGTTCATCACTTTGCAGTTAAATGTAAAGTTTAAGTACCTAGAGTTTGATAAACTATAGGTTGTAAATAGCTAGATATAGTTATCACTACCATTTTAAAGGCACTGGGTTACATGCCAGCTTTTTTCTCAGCTTTATCTGAAGTTTCTTATATTTGGAGAGAGAGCATGTAACCATGTGATTATCACATAATAATCTAAAGAATAATTAATATAAAACACCCATATAAGCGATGTCCTAAATTGATTGTCTGATGGGTGATCTAGACAGTGGCTTCAACAAAGGATTAGACCCTTGAGGGCTAACCTGGTTGACACTGGTTCATGTTGCTGAAGCCATAGAATTAAACAAGATTTGAAGCCCCACTTCAGAGATTGTTCTTATGTTCCTAATTTATATTTTTCTATTTTTTTTTAAATTGATAGACTCTCTTTTTTTGAGCAGTTTTAGGTTTTCAGAAAAAAATGGAGTGAAAAAAGTACAAGGTTCCCATATACTTTATACTTCCTCACTATTTTAGTTTTTATTTTCACAGTATCTTTTATTATTAGTTGCAAATCATTTTGACAGACTTATGTTTAATATTTTTATTAAAACGTCTGAATTAGGGGCACTTGGGTGGCTCAGTTGGTTAAGCATCCGACTCTTGAATCCAGCTCAGGTCATGATCTCATGGTCTGTGAGATCGAGCCCTGCATCAAGCTCTGTGCTAACAGCGCAGAGCCTCCTTGGGATTCTCTCTCTGCCTCTCCCTGGCTTGTGCTCATACTCTCTTTCTCTCTCAAAGTAAATAAATGAACATTAAAAAAAATAAAACATCTGAATTAACATGTTCTTGACTGCCTGAGTGAGGATTCCAGATGCTGTATTTTCGAACGCAGTCACTTGGGACATCCACTGAATAATCTGGTTGAATTATATATTCCGTTTATTGTTCAGTCCACTAGTGGATGATGACTAGATTTCTGGTTCATACAGAAAGAGGGGACATTAAGATGATACCATTGCTAACAGTTTGTTTATTTCTAAACCAAACAACTCCTAAAATGAAAAATCTCCCTTCTGAGCTCCATTGGGTTTGTTGCATAGTATTTTTTTCCTCTGAATCTGCATTCGCATCAACAGCAGTTTAATTCCCGATGCTTTTTCAAAACTAATGAGAGGTAAACAGTTCTAGGCCTCTGTTGTCAGTACAAGGAGGGATTCTTGTCTGAAGCTTCAGAGATTCTGGTGTGCCCTACTCTGTCCTTGGCAGTGCTTTCATGTTAGTGAGCTCCATGAGATGCCATATGTGGGGTATAGTTGGGGCAGATGGGGTAGGAATAGTGATACGACTCCTCCTAATGTTTGTTCCATTTAGTTCATTCCCTGTTGAGCCACGATAGCAGGGAGGGGAAATGGTAGGGTTGGCAAAGAGAACTAGAGTGAAAAGAAACACTTAATAACTGTATCCCCAAATTGAAAATTTATTTGTGTTAAAAGTTTGGTTAAGGATAGAAACATATTTTTAGGAGAATTAAACTCATCTATGCTTTGATTTAATATAATCATTTGTATCAAAAATTGCTTGTAAGGCATGCTAGATACTCTGTTGCTGGGCTTTGGGAAGGAGTGCTAGAGGAAAAAGGGGACCCTTCTATAGGCCTGGCTGCTGAAGTGAGTAGCCAGCAGTCAAAATATATTTAAATTCAGACTTTTTTGTTATGAATTTGGGGTTGGGGTGTAGGGAGGTATAAATTTGCAATAATGCCTAGATTTGGGACAGAGGGAATTTAAGTGCTAGTCAGCAACCTGTGCAGAAGATCTTTTGTATGAATTGACCAAAAACTGAGATTGTTGAGGAAAAGCCAAGAGGATGCCCAGGAATACTGGATACTAGGCTTAATGCACAAACACTGTGCTTCTGATCCTTCAGATGATGGGTCGTACTATTATATTGCCTGCCCAGAACAAGACTGACTCATTTCTTAAAGCAGTGGTTCTGAGTCTGAAGTTTGAAGGTCAGAAGTACATATGTATTACCTGGTAGGGACAGATAAGCCAGGACTAATACTCTCTAAAGTAATAAGCAAAGAAAACATTTTATTTGGGAGAATTGGTATGGGTATGATGTAGGATCTTAGGTAGCTAAAGGGAACATAAGGAAAAGTAGATCAGGGACTAGAGAAATCAAACAAGTGGAATGGCAATAAATGCTAACTTTATCTATTTTACAATTTTTCCTGGGTCTTGTGGACAGCCATTGTCACTGAGGTTAGCTGTCACCGGTAGTTTGGGAAGGTTCAAACCTCTAGCAGTTTCCTATTCCTGGGTAGTCTGGTCTTAGATCATTCTAGTTCATCAGTGACATCTCTCAATCTAGTCATTTCAGTGATGCTGGGAAAAGGAGGAGATACAGATGTCTCCCTGCCTTCTCAGTGTTTCTCTTGACTATAAATTTAATGTTTTCAGGGGACTGTATAGCGTCTTCTCAAGAGCTCCATCATCAGTCTGCCATGTTAACCTCTGTACTATCAGAACAGGAACCAGGCCCATATTGGTTCAGGATGTTCACTTGGTCTCTGCCCATATATTCCTATGTCCTACATCACCATCTGTGGGAGGGAACTAGAGTTCTCAGATTTACCCTCTGGCCCTGAGGTCAGTAAATGATCATCTGAACCAATTGCTGGGGCACTATACATGTCTCATTACGGTAGCTTTTTTATTTCCTTTTGCCCTTTTCCTTTTCTGCTTCCTTGTTCACTTCCTCCCTTTCTTCTCTTTAATTATGCCTTAATCCAAAGCTATGGACATGGCTTTCTCCTACCGATGATAATCAGAGGTATTGAGATATTACTTAACACCTATTCTAGAGAAGTCTTTAGATGGCACCTTAGATGGGGAGGACATTTGAGCCATTCTTGTTAGAAATTTAATGAAGCCAAAGTTTGCCTTTATGGCTTTGGTTTCTTGGTAAGTCAGTAGGGGCACAGCCTAGATACATTAGAAGTCTTATTTGCGGGTATGGAATTTCATCGGAGACATTATCTATTCTTATACTTACTGTGTAAAATGTTAGAGTTTAAAAGTCTAAATTTATCCTTCTATTGAAAAGAACTCAAGCCCAAAGTAGTATAAAAGAGGGCTAGAAGCTGTAATTTATACAGCATAGCATATAAATATTTATGCTATAATACTATAATGGTAGTATCTTTTTAGGAAACCCCTTATGGATGTTTTTGAACTTAGGTCATGAGAAATTTGAAAAAACTTGGAATACTTTTTATTTTTTTAAATAATGTTATTTCCCTGTTTGCCAAAGATAAGTCAGATGAGTAAAACATTTTAATTCTAGCTTTTGGTTTATTCGTAGTACTATAGAGCACCATGAAAAATTTCTTGGCTATTACTCTGTTTTCTGTGATCCTAGAATACCTTAAATAGAATTAGATCCAGATAATTCAAAATCTTACTTTTTGTTTATAGCTTAAGCCTAGTCTCCAGCCAAATCTTTTAATTTATCAAGGTTTATAGTAAATAATGACATTTTAAATTGATTTTGTTCAACAGAAAGTGAATTAGAAGCAGTTAAGTAGCCACAAGATATAAGTGGAAGAGAAAAACAAAAACAAAGAACTTGAATAACCTAACCTGTGTAATTGAGAATTGACTATGTGGATTAATTCTTTTTTTTTTTTTAAGTTTTTTTATTTATTTTAAGAGAGTGAGTGGGGGAGGGGCAGAGAGGGGGAGAGAGAGAATCCCAAGCAGCTCCACACTCTCAGCACAGAGCTGTGGGTACTTTTAATTAAACATAATAAACCACCTTAAACTATAGTTATATCTATAACAAATTTAAATATGGGGTATCAAGTTACAGGGACAAGGACAACAAAGACTTTACCATAAGTTGGTTGTATAACGTGATTACATTATCTACAGAATTAATCCATGCAGTCAATTCTAAAGGTACCTGGGTGGCTCAGTCGGTTAGGCATCTAACTCTGCACTTCAGCTCAGGTCATGATCTCACAGTTGGTGGATTTGAGCCCCTTGTCACGCTCTGCGCTGACAGCACTGCTTGGGATTCTTTCTCTCCCTCTCCCCCACTTGCACTGTCTCTCTTCATTGATTTGAAAAAGCCATCGATTGTGAAATACGTCATCATTTTATGTGTCACTAAACTTTCACACAACCCTTACCCTTTAGAATTTCTATTTTACAAAGAACTCTGTTAGACTTAATTAGATGCAAATTTTTATCCTGTATCATTTCTTACATAAAGAGAATGTAGGTGAAAGAAGTTGGCTAAAGTTTTCCTAAAACTCATGTTTATAGTGCAACTCTTTGTAATAATTCCTTGATTCAGTCATTGATAGGACGCCTTTCCATCCTGTATCATGTTCTGTGCCATCAAGAACTTTGATGGTGCAACATTTCTTAAAAGAATACATAAAAGAAGCAAAAATCATTGTTGCTGGATTCTTTTTTCTTTTTTAATTTTTTTTAACGTTTATTTTTGAGACAGAGAGAGACAGAGCATGAACGGGGGAGGGGCAGAGAGAGAGGGAGACACAGAATCCGAAGCAGGCTCCAGGCTCTGAGCCATCAGCCCAGAGCCCGACGCGGGGCTCGAACTCACAGACCTCGAGATCATGACCTGAGCTGAAGTCGGACGCTTAACCGACTGAGCCACCCAGGTGCCCCTTGTTGCTGGATTCTTAAGCCTAAGCCTTGTTTGCATTTATTTAGAGCACTTCCTATATCCAGATTTTCTTCCACACTGCTGACCACCCTTTCTGCTGGTTTTGGTACTGGTACTTTGATGCTTTTGCATATGCAGGCAAGCATTTTCTACAATATGCATGATTATAAGATGCATCCTGATGTCAGAAGTGTTAAAGTGTGAAAAAAATAGGTGTCTTAGAATTGATGAAACGTGGTATATAGTAAAACCTTGGATTGTAACTTGTTCTGTGAGTGTTCCACAAGATGAGCAAACATTTCTAATAAATTTTAACTTGATAAAACGAGCGATGTCTTGCAGTACGAGTAGTATGTGATGCCGAACATCACATGATCACAATCAAGCCATTTGTTCTTGAAATTTGCTTTGATATATAAGTGCTTTGGATTATAAGCATGTTTCCGGAACAAATTATGCTCGCAAACCAAGGTTTTACTGTGTATCCAACTGCCAAGTGTTACGACGTAGTAGTATAGGGAAGGGAGAGACCA